CGGAGCGGCTGGTAGTTTCGAACCACTGACCTTAAGGTTCGCAGCCCGATTCGTAACCACTACGCTACCAGAGCTCCATCACAAATTAAGATACTTACACTTCTTAAAAAAGAAAATCACAATTGTTGGTGAGAATGTGAAGTTGGAACACTCTTACACTACTGGCTGTTGTTGTTATGTGCCATCGAGTCAATTCCAACCCATAGCGATCCTGTATAAGGTTTCCGAGGAGCAGCTGGGTGAGCTTGAACTGCCGACCTTGCAGTTAAAATGGCTTTGCAATCTGGCGCATTAACCCACAGCGCCATACCAGGACTCCTACACTACTTACTGGTAGGAATGTAATATAGTGTAATTGCTATAGGAAACAGTTTTGTGGTTAAACATAGACTTACTGTTGTTGTTAGTGCCATCAAGTTGGTTCTAATTCATAGCAACCCTGTATAGGATTTCTAAGGAGTGGCCGGTGGGTTTGAACCAACCTTGTAGTTAGCAGTCCAGTGCTTATGCTACAGTGGGCCACACTGGGACTCCAGATCCTATATGACCATATGATCATATGACCTAGCAATTCCACTCCTAAATATACACCCTAAAGAATTGAAAGCAGAGACATAACAAACTTATACCCTGATATTCACTGTAGCACTAATCACAGTAGCCGAAAGGTTGTTGTTGTTGTTAAGTGCCGTCGAGTCGGTTCCAATCCATAGCGACCCTGTACAGGGTTTCCGAGGGTGTAAATCTTTACGGGAGTAGAAAGCCTCACCTTTCTCCCGCGGAGCAGCTGGTAGTTTCGAACCGCTGACCTTAAGGTTCGCAGCCTGATTCGTAACCACTACGCTACCAGAGCTCCTTAGCCGAAAGGAAGAAACAACCTAAATACCCATCAACAGACAATTGAATAAACAAAATGTGGTATGGTCATACAATAGAATATTAGCCATCCAGAAAAAGAATGAAACTTTGATATATGCTATGTGAATGAACCTTTAAAACGTTGTTAGGTGCTATTGAGTCACCGATTCAGAGTGACCTTATACACAACATAACAAAACCCAATCCTGTACCCATTTCAAAGTTATTGCTACACTTGAGCCCACTGCTGCTGCCACTGTATTGGGTGTCTTCCTCTTTTTCCTGACCCTCCATTTTACCAACCGTAATGTTCTTCTCCAGGTAATGGTCCTTCTTGATCTACGTCTGAAGTATGAGAGACAAAGTCTGGACATCCTGGCTTCTAAGGAGCATCTGGCTGTACTTCCTCCAACACAGATCTGTTTGTTCTTTTGGCAGTCCGTGGTACTTTCAATCTTCTCCTCCAACACCAAAGCTCCAATGCATCAATTCTGCATCAGTCTTCCTTAATTCACTGTCCAACTTGCACATGCATATGACGTTATTGAAAATACCATGGCTTGGGTCAGGCACACCTCAGTTCTCAAACTGATTATCTTTGTTCTTCAACACTTTAAAGAGGTCTTGTGCAGCAGATTTGCCAAATTCAATATGTTGTTTGATTTCTTGACTGCTGCTTCCATGAGTATTGATTGTTGATCTGAGCAAAATGAAGTCTCTAACAACCTAATTCTTCTCTCTGTTTATCTTGATGCTACTGATCCAGTGGTGAAATAACGTTTTAAATGCCGTCAAGTCGGTTCCGACCCATAGCGACCCTGAACAGGGTTTCCGAGGATGTAAAATCTTTACAGGAGCAGAAAGCCTCATTTTCTCCTGCAGAGCGGCTGGTAGTTTGAAATGCTGACCTTAAGGTTCACAGCCCGATTCGTAACCACTACACTACCAGAGCTCCTTAGATCAGTGAAATTAGACAAAAAAGAACAATATTGCATGGTCCAACTTAGATGAAATCATCTAGAATAGGCCAGTGTATAGACACCAAAGCTTAGTAGTGGTCACCAGGGGCAGGAGAAGTCCTGGTGTGGTGCCGCAGGATAAGCACTCAACCACAAGGTCAGTTTGAAGTGCAAGGTTGGTGGCTCAGCTCCACCACTCACTCCTCAGAAACCATACACAGGGTCACTATGAGTTGGAACCGATTCAACAGCACTAACAACAACAACAACAATGGGCAGGAGGGAAAATAAAGGGGGACTCAGGCATACGGGAAACTGAGTTTCTATTAAGAATGATGGAAAAAAGTGGAAGTGGACAGTGTAACCTGCCTGCCAAGTGTGATTACAGTCACTGAACTGTATCTGTAAAAAATATTGAAATGACAACTGTTTCATTATATGTGGTTTTAACACAATAAAAAATTATTTAAAAGAAAAAAAAGGATATAGGTTGAATAAAATAAATGAATCCAATGAATACCTATGCAACTGCTTACACATTAAATAGATAGGATTAAACCCATGACATAGTAAGTGAAAACCAATATGTAAGTCCCATATTTCTACAGTGTCTAAAAATATATATATATAGGTATACATTTATAAATGTATAGAAAGACTGAAAAATATATAAAGCCTACAAAATAGTATTTGTAGACAAGGAGGGCTTTTGCTTTTCCACAGATTGGATTTTTTACAGCAAAAAATATTTTTCTGCGTTTTTAAACTTAAGTAATTTTTAAGCTTACTTTGAATCAGACAGTCTACTATGCCCGGAACAACAAATTGAAGAGGAATGACATTGCATTCATCGTCAAAAAGAACATTTCAAGATTTATGTTGAGGTACAATGCTGGAAACAAAGAGTTAGGATCAGTAATTGGAAAATATGGTATTGGTGATAGAAATGATGCTGATGCTGGAGATTGCATGATAGAATTTTGCAAGACCAATGAGTTATTCATTGTAAATACCTTTTTTAAACAACATAAAAGATACTATACATGTGGACATCACTACATGAATATACAGAAATCAAATTGGCTACATCTATGGGAAGAGATGGTGGAAAACCCAAAACCAGGCCAGGAACAGACTAGAACAGACTATTAGTTGCTCATATGCAAGTTTAGGCTTAAGCTAAAGAAAATTAAAACAAGTCCCAAGAGCCAAAATTTGACCTGAATTTAGATACCATCTTAAGAACAGGTTTGATGCATTAGACATTAATGACAGAGACCAGAAGAGTGTAGGGTGGCATGAAGAACATCACACAGGAAGAAAGCAAAAGGTCTTTAAATAGACAGGAAATTTAAAAAAAAAGGTCAAAATGGATGTCAGAAGACATTTTCTCGTCAGCATATGAATGCTGAAGTTAATGGGATATATGAGGAAGTAAAATAGCTGAACAGAACATTTCAAAAGTCAGCTTGAGAAGACAAAGTCAAGTATTGTAATGAAATGTGCAAAGACCCAGAGTTAGAATTTGAAAAGGGTAGATATTATCATCTGAACTGCAAGGTCAGCGGTTCAAGCTCACCAGCTGCTCCTTGGAAACCCTATACAGGGTCCCTATTGGTCAGAATCGACTGGATGGCACTTAACAACAGCAACAACAAGGCAATGAGTTGATAGGCCTTGGGACTCAGGACCACAGTTTAAGGGGACACAGTGTTCAATTGGCATAACATAGTCCACAAAGACAATGTTCTACACATCATGCTTGGGTTAGTATCGTCTGGGATCTTGAAAGCTCATGAGTGGCCATCTTAAGATACAGCTAATTGTCTATGTGTGGAAGAAGAGTGATGAGAATTGAAGAGGCTTGGAATCAATTATTCCACTGGACTAATGGAACATGTGAACCTCAACGTCTGTAACTTTGAGACCAGAACTACAGCAGCTGCCCTGAAAGCATTAGAGAGTCCCAGATAGTGTGGGAGAAAATATGGAACAAAACTCAAAATTATTTAGAGACTGGTGGAACCAGAGACTGTGTATGGCCTGTAACCTCCCTTCTGGTCTGAAAAGGAACTCACCCTCATGGTCCAATTTTCACCCAAAAAGTAGATAGGTTTATAGTGCATTACAACAACACTAGTAAGGTATACTTATCATGGAACGGTCAATCATTCAAAATCAAAAGGGCAACATTTTTCTAAGGACACAGTTGAGAAGGGATAGGAAGGTGGGTGGAATGGAAACAAGAACCACAGGGAGGAAGTGGGATAACTGTTGTTACATGGAGGGGATTGCAATCATTGAGATGAAACAAAGTGTATGATTTGTTGAATCTAAAACTAAAACTAATGAACTTGTCTGTAAACCTTAATTCACAATAAAATTAAAAAAAAAAAAAAACTGAAAGGGAAGAGTACACGCAGCATGTTTCAGTTGAAAGAACTGAAGGAAAAATTCAAGCCTTGCAATATTGAAGAATTCTATGTGCAAAATGAAATCCTGTGTGGCACTGTAGGATAAAGCATTAGACTGCAAGGTTTGTTTGCACTGCAAGGTAGCGATTCACATCTGCTGCAAAAGATCTCTCTAAGAGTTCAAGAGCACAGATACCAGTTTGAGGTCCAAGCCATGATATGTTCAGTACCCTCATAAGAATGTGAAGGAAATCTGGTAGCATAGTGGTTACAAGTTGGACTGCTAATCTCAAGATCTGCAGTTTGAAACTACCAACCGGTGCATGGAAGAAAGATGAGACTTTCTGTTCCCATAAAGATTTACAGCCTTGGAAACCCTATACAGGGTCGCTATGAGTTGGGACTGACTATGTACAGCACACCACCAACCACCATCACCATATGAATGTGAAAGTTGGACAATGAATAAGGAAGACCGTGGAAGAACTGATACATTTGAGTTGTGATGTTGGAGAAGAATATTGGAGGTACCATGGACTACCAAAAGAAGAAACAGGTCTGTGTTGGAAGAAGTACAGCCAGAATGCTCCTTACAAGCCAGAATGGTGAGATTGCATCTCTCATGCTTAGATATGTTATCATGAGGAAACAATCTCTGAAGAAGGTTATCATTCTTGGTAAAGTGGAGGGTCTGCGAAAAAGAGGAAGACCCCTAATGAGATGGATTGGCACAGTGACGGCAGCAGTGGGCTCAAGCGCTACAACAATTGTGAGGATGGCAATGGATTGGGCAGTGTTTCATTCTGTTGTGCATTAGGTGACTATAGGTCAGAACCGACTGACAGTACCTAACAACAACAACAAGTTTTAAAAAATAACATAAAAGGGAAAAAGGAAAAATCACCTGTACAAGTGCGGGAGAAATCACAGTGGCAATTGTCTGACACCTTACCCTTTCTGTGGCAGGTTCTTGGCATATATTTTGCTGACAAAATCTGTTAGTTGAAATTTGGGGCAAGATGCTTGGTCTTTCCCACAATCTTCAAAGTGCACAGAGAGAAGCCGGTCACTGAGAAGCTGCAGCACACTTGAGTGGGACATTTCCATTGCTGTGCAGATGTTCAGGGCGGCATACAATACTCCCTCCAACCACTTGATATTGAGGGTTATTCCCCCTGCACACCAACGAAAAGGTCAATACGAGTGAGCACCATACGAAGGATTTGACAGATCAGCAGGTATTCTGAGGCTCAAGTCAAGTCGACATTCCTCCTCCTAGTCCAGAGTCTTACTGGTGTTTTTTGATGACACAGCCTCAGTGTTGACCAGACCCCAGGAGGATAGATAAGACCACCTAGTACAGACACTGCTAATGGTAGGGGTTCTTTGGAATAGTGCTTGCCAGAAAAAGAAGAGACCAAGGGAAATAGTGCAAGGTTAGAAAAGAGAAAAGGCATTTTCATCCCAGACACACATCCTCCTCAGGGATTATTTAAAGTATGTTTGCCTACTCTGGTTTTCATATTCATCCTTAAAGGATCCAGATAACAAGGCTTCTAAGCTGTCCCTAATAAAGGATGCTTTTTACCACTATATACTCTTCTCATTTGAAACTTAGATAACTGAGATTTTACCCAGTTTGTGTTTTCCTTTCCCATCCTCCCTATACACTACACACACTGATAGGAAATAATTTTCAAAAGAGTGCAAAACATGGACCATTACCAGCAGTACTGTAGGGGCAGGTAGCCTGGAGAATCGCAGGATCTTGTAGAGCAGCTGTGATTTCCTTATTGGCTCCCCAGATGTTTACAAATGTATCATCACACTGATACTGAGGCCGCAGGATATTGGTGTGGTTCAGCAGTAACTTCAACCTGGAAGTAAAACCACCAAGATGGTAGTGTCAGGACTGGAAACAACTGCCCAACCCACTGCGTTCATATCCAACACCAGCTACTGATGATGCTACACAGCTACCCGGGCAAACAAAGCTCTGTGTGTGCGTATTAGTGAATGTCATGTGCCAGGCATCAGGCTAAACATTGCTATTGTGAGTGGCTGTCAAGTTGATTTCCACTCACAGTGAGTGTTAAATGCCATCCAGTTGGTTCCAGTTTATAGCATCCTGTATAGTTTCCAAGGAGTGGCTGATGAGTTTGAATCGCCAACCTTGTGGTTAGTTGTTGTTAAGTGCCATGGAATCAGTTCCAACTCATAGCTAACCTGTACAGGATTTCTGAGTAGTCCAATGTTTATAATACAGTTATACACAAGAATTTCTCCTAGTAACTGTTGCTGTTAAGTGTGATCGAGATGGTTCCAACTCATATCAGTCAGGTAAAGGGTTTCCAAGGAGGTGCTGGTGGGTTTGAACTGCTGACCTTGTGGTTAGCAGTCAGTGCTTATCCTATAAAGCCATACCAGAACTCCTCCTAGTGACCGTTAGTTGTGAGGTGCTGCCCAGTCAGTTCTGACTCATACTGACTTTATACACAACAGAATGAACTGCCCAGTCCAGCACCAACCTCACAATTGTTATGTTTGAGCCCATTGCTGCTCCCACTCACTATGCCAATCCATCTCATTGGGGGTCTTCCTCTTTTTCACTGACTTCCACCTTTCCAAGCATGATATCCTTCTCCAACGATTAGTTCCTCATGATATGTCTGAAGTATGAGAGACGAAGTCTCTAGATGGACTTCTTCCAGCACAGATTTGTTTGTTCTAACAATCCCTGGTACTTTTAATATTCTTCTCCAACACCATAACACAAATGCATCAGTTATACAGTCTTCCTTATTCATTGTCCAACTTTCACATGCATATGAGGCTTTGTAAAATACCATGACTTGGACCTCAAACTGACATCTTTGCTCTTGAATACCTTAAAGAGGCCTTGTGTGGCAGATTTGTCTAATGCGATACATCATTTGATTGCTTGACTGATGTTTCTAGGAGTGTTGATAGTGAATCTAAGCCAAATGAAATCTTTGACAATCTTTTCTTCATTTATCATGATGTTATTTACTGGTCCAGCGGTGAGGATTTTTGTTTTCATTTCAGTTTGTTGAGATATTTCAATTTGTATTCCATCAATTTCTGGTGACTTGTTCTTGGCCAATGACCTCAATGCACCTTAGAATTCTTCCTTCGGGATCATTGACTTTTTTTAGTTTTTTTTTTTTTAAGGTTTTTATTGTGGATTGAGTGAAAGTTTACAGGGCAGACCATCAGTTTTACATTCAACCAATCATACACCTTGTTTCATTACAATGATTATAATCCCCTCCATATACCATCAGTGAACAGAATTTCTGTCTTTAGCTCTTTTTTTTTTTTTTTTAAACACTTAGACATATATAATAATTTACACCACCAAAGGCACATTCTGCAAGTCTGCCTCCTGGCCACCAGCTCTCAGTCCCTTTCTTTCCATGAATCTAGAGTCATCAGCTGCCCCCTCTCTACATGTCCCCATCTCTGCCTCCATTGCTGCTTCTCTGGATAAGGTCTCGCATTCCGCTGCTGCTCTTCTCCCTTAATGGTCCTAAGGTTCTTTGTTTCTGGACTGTAAAATTAACTACTCCCCTGCTTTTCTTAAAAAACTTCTACCTTTACAGTTGTGTTATCATTAGTCATGATAACAATTACTCACTATTGAATCATAAGAATCATATCCCAATCTCTTCTAACCAGACCCATCTAGATAAGATGAAAACTATTTAGTGGGGACTCTTTTCTTTCTCCACACACTATTAAAGTAAACTCCCCCTTGAAACCTTGTAAGCCAAGTCACTTCGAGCCTTTATCGCCTCCTCATTTTAGGTAGCCAATGTCTAAGTTTCCCATCCTTATCTGCCCTGTGTACAGAGGGGATAGCATTGATACTTGATGTGAAGACTCCTTCCCTCTCTGTTGGTATTTAGAGTTACCACCTCCATGAGTATAGGTCAGGTTCATCAAATTGTAGCAATTTTCCCTCATTTCCTTTATCAAAAATTGTTGTTTTTATCTTCCTTCTGATTATCAAGCCATTGAGGCTAGGTCAAATGGGTACTATCTGCAACTTTGGGTGTTCTTGTGTGCCTCCTCTCACTTCATGTCAGCTGGATGCTTCACTCTCAGCTCTAGCCCTCTGTGGCTATGTCCTTGTCCATGGGCTCAGGTGTCCCCTGGTCTCACCACACTTTGGCCCAACCAGCCCTTCCAATTCTCTCTCTCATCTCCAGGTCAACAGGAGTCTGTGGAACGTAGTTGAACTCAGCCCATTTCTTCATTGTTGCCTTTCCCCCTCTTCCACTCACCAGTAGACCAATGTGGTGGCCAGCAAACTTACATACATGCTCATGTGTTCCCTTTGAGTTTCAGTCTTAGAGGGTGTGTGTGTCATGAAGGAACTTGATTGCTTGCCTTGATGGCTTCCCAGAGAACAACTTGCTTATTCTTATAGTAAGCCAGTCATACGTCCATTTTTGTTTTGTGTTTTTCCTGACGATCTTTCTTTGAAGATATATCTTCTGTCGCTCTAGCTGTTCAAGGCTGGTCTGCTTCTCCTCTCTAGTGGGAATGTCCCACCTCAGAAGGTTCTGGATTGGGCTCAGGATTCCACCTAAGGTCCTATACACTGCAAAATCTCCACAGGAGGCTTATTTCACTGGGCAGGATTATTGACTTTTTTTTTTTTTTAAGTTTTTATTGTGAATTAGGTGATAGTTTACTTGGGAGAACATCAGCTTTACATTCATCCTATTGTACTTCGTTTCATTGCAATGATTAGATGCATCATCATTCAACAGAATTTGCTTCCATTCCCTCTATTTTGTTTTGTTTTGTTTTGTTTCTGGAGGTACACGGAAGCACTGAGAAATATACAACCATTCAAACAACTAAAGGGCACACCCCATAACCCTGCCCCCACCTCCTCCAGCCATCAGCCCTCAGGCCCTCTCCCTCCCTGAGTCCAGAGGTCCCAGCCGCTCCATCTCTCCACGTCATCGTCTCTGCGTCCATCTCAGGTGTCACTGCTTCTCTGGATAGGGTCCCATGCTCTACTCTTTTCCCTTGATGGTCCCAGGGTCCTCTGCTCCTGGACTGCCAGATCAACCACTCCCTTCCTCTTGTTATAAAATGTCTACCTGGATCATTGACTCTTCTTGATCATATGCTACCTCTTGAAATGGTTGAACATCGACCATTTCTTTTTGGTACAGTGACACTGTGTATTCCTTCCATCTTCGTTTGATGCTTTCTGCATCATTCAATATTTTGCCCTAAAAATCCTTCAGTTCAGAAATGCTCACATGTTCTTCCCCTTTGGTTTTCTAACTCCAGATCTATGCACATTTCATTATAATATTTGACTTTGTCATCTCGAGCTGACCTGACCTTTGAAATTTTCTGTTCAGCTCTTGTACCTCCTCACTTCTTCCATTTGCTTTAGCATCTCTGTGCTGGAGAGCAAGTTTCAGAGTTTCCTGACATCCATTTTGGTGTTTTTCTTATTTCTTCTGTTATGATGATCTTGGTGTCATCCCACAACTCTTCTGACCTTTGGTCATTAGTATCTAATTCAACAAATCTGTTCTTGAGATGGTCTCTAAATTCAGGTAAAATATGTTCAAGGTCAAAATTTGGCTCTTATGGACTTGTTTTAATTTTCTTTAGCTTTACCCTGAACTTGCTTATGAGCAATTGATAGTCTGTTCCACAGTCTGCCCCTAGCCTTGTTTTGGCTGATAATACATACTTTTCCACTGTCCCCTCCCACAGATATAGTCAATTTGAATTTTGTGTAGTCCATCTGGTGAAGTCCAAGTCTTCTTTTATGTTGTTTTAAAAAGGTATTTGCAATGAGTAAGTCATTGGTCTTCCAAAATTCAGTTTTGCAATCTCCAACATCATTTCTATCACCAAGGCCATATTTTCCAACTACTGATCCTTCCTCTTTGTATCCAACCTTTGCATTCCAATCACCAGAAGTTATCAATACATCTTGATTGCATATTTGATCAATTTCAGACTGAAGAAGTTGGTGGAATTCTTCAGTTTTATTATCACTGGTTTTAGTGGTTGGAGCATAAATTTAAATAATAGTGGTATTAAATGGTCTTCCTTGCAGGCCTATGGATATTATCTTATCACAGACAATATTATGCTTCAAGATAAATCTTGAAATGTTCTTTTTGATGATGAATGTGACGCCATTCCTCTTCAATTTTCATTCATGGCATAGTAAACCATATAATTGTCGTATTCAAAAAGGCCAATAGCAACTAGTGACTGTTGTTGTTGTTATGTGCCATAGAGTTGGTTCCGACTCATAGCGACCCTATACAGGGTTTCCGAGACTGTAAATCTTTACGGGAGCAGAAAGCCTCATCTTTCTCCTGCAGAACAGCTGGTAGTTTCGAACTGCTGTCCATGAGGTTAGCAGCCCAACTCGTAACCACTGTGCTACCAGAGCTCTTTCAACTAGTGACTAGGGGTGCAAAAATAAGATCTGATACTTGCCCTCAGTAACATTTCATGTTGTTCACTTGTGGTTTCCCTCCTTATTGATTCTCAGGGGAATAAGCTTCAGGTAGCAGGAGGCATTGTTTATTGCATTCTAGACATTTTCATATCAAAGAAGTATCCCCACAAGTGCTATGGTGGTTTAGTCACAATTTGTAGACAAGTGGGGAATACACAATTACAAAGACTACCTGGGTCCGTCTGCAGATAAATCTGTTTCTACCTTGGTGCTGTAGGATAAGCACTTGACTAAGTGGTTCAAATTAGCCAGCCACTCCTTGGAAACCCTATACAGAGTCGCTATGAGTCGCAACTGACTCTATAGCACTTACCAGCAACAACCTAATTTTCATAGGAATGACCACTGCAAGAGAAAGGAGTGGGGGGCAGTTAGAGGGGACACACAGAAGTCAGAGATGAGGAGAGAGAGCGTGTCTACAAGATACCTGGGTACAGGGACGGCAGCTACAAAGCTGTACACAATGCAGGCTTTGTCAAGGCTGTTCTGAATTTCCACACAGATGTTAGGCAGCTGAGATGGCAGGCAGCAGAGGAATACCACGTTGGCCCAATTTACCAGGTAAGCATTTTGGTAAAAGCACTGGATCCCCAGTTTCTGGAGTTCATCTAGGAGAAAGAAAGCAAGACAAAGTGCCAGGTATGGGGAAAGGATTCTCATGATCTTATCTTAATCAACTGAAGTCTTATACCCACATAAACCAGAAGATTTCCCATATAAGCCCGGCAGCAGTGCCCTAACCCCTTGTTAAGACGGCTAGCACCACTGCAGCGGTGTGTAGACTAGGAAATAAGTCATCCCAGTGTGGTGCTGTGGGTTAATGCGCTGGACTGCAAAGTTGGTTTGAATTGCAGGGGTGGTGGTTCAAGCTCACCAGCCACTTCTAGGAAACCCTCTACAGGGTTTCTGTGGGTTGGAACCGAGTTGACAGCACTTCACAATAACAAATCATATTTTTAGGGAGCCATGGTAGCACAACACTTTAAGCATTGGGCTACTAACCGCAGGGTCTGCATCTGTAATTTACCTGAAATTTATCAGAAACCCTTCGGAGTAGCTCTGCCTTGCTCTGTAAGATCACTATGAGTCTATGGGATAATGTGCTTGACTGCAAGGTCAGTTTGAGCCACAAGGTTGGTGGTTCAAACCCACCAGCTGCTCCTTGGAAACCCTATACAGAGTTGCTATGAGTTGGAACCGACTCGATGGCACTTAGCAACAAAATCTTAACAGATATCTTTCTTACAGACCAGTAAGTGGGTTTCTTACTTAGACCAAACACTGGACTGTTTGATTTATTTAAAGAAGAAAAAATTTCAAAGGAGGCTTCTGCTCCACTTTTGTGCAGATTGATCATATACTAGTTAATGTACATATGTTATCTAAAGTAATCCTCACAAAAATCTCATGAGGCAGAGACTAGTATTATTCCCATGTTGTAGATGAGGCTTCAAGAGTTAAGGGGAGCAGGAAGAGTAGGAGAGATGCTGGGAGAGATTTGGAAAGGTCATTTGCTGTTTCAGTAAAACATATACAGTAAGATTTCTAAATGTACAGAGAAATATGATAACTCAGATGATTGTATAGAAACACTCATTGGTAGTTAATCAATTGATTGTACTTACTGCAATGTGGAGTTTCAAAAGTAAATATTTTAAATGTAAACTCACATCTGTTTTAGGTGTTATTGGAAAACGATATTATATTTGAAGAGGTGAATTTTTATCTTAACCACCAAGAGTGCATGATAAATTGATGCTGATATTATCTGGATACTTATAAACTTGGAAGATGGATAGGACAAAGAGAACGTTTGGGAAACATACACAGGTGTCATTCATTAATGTGTTGTTCTCAAAATTGCGTAGAAGCTGATGCTGGACGTTTGGACTTCTTGCTTCCTCAGACAACACACAGTGATAAACACTATCATCTTAAACATATTGCTTCCCAAAGATGGTGCATTTTATTTATTTATATGTATATATTATATATTTTGTTGTTAAGTGCCATGGAGTTGGTTCTGACTCATAGTGACCCTGTATACGGTTTCCAAGGCTTTACATCTTTTGCAGGAGCAGAAATCCTCATCTTTCTCCCATGGAGCAACTGGTAGGCCTGAACTGCTCACCTTGTAGTTTACAGTCCAGTGCTTATCATATACAGCCACCACACTCTCAATAGAGAGATGACCAAGAAGACAACTTTTGGGGGTGGTATATATGCTCATTACTTTGTTTAGGGTGATAGTTTTAATATGCTGTATATATATATACACACACACACATATAAGGAGCTCTGGTAGCATAGTGGTTACGAGTCAGGCTGCTAACCTCAAGGTCAGCAGTTTGAAACTACCAGCAATTCCACGGAAGATGAGGCTTTCTGCTCCCATAAAGATTTACAGCCTCGGAAACCCTATACAGGGTCACTATGGGTCAGAACCAACTCGACAGCACTTAACAACAACAACCACAAATATATATATACACATACATGAAGTCCTGGTGTGGCACACACAGTAGGATAAGCACTCAACCTCAAAGTCAATTTGAACTGCAAGGTCGGTCCTCAGAAACCCTATAGAGGATGGCTATGTGTCAGAATTGATTTGACAACACACAACAACAACATATATATGTATGTGTGTGTGTCTGTCAGTTGGAGCCAGCTCAGTGGTAACTGGCACAGGTTTATTGCTAGTATTAAAAAATTTGCCTTGAGTGGTTAAATTTTTTTAAAAATCTGATATAGGAAAAAACACTTACTCATTAGTATAAAAATTACAGACACTCCCACCGAAAAACTGGGCAAAACCAAGTTTAAAAACATAACAATAAATCTAAAGAATATTCAAATTCATATTCAGATGATGATACAAAAAATTTTTCCAGACTTGACAAGGATGTAGTAAAATGGGTGTTTTTATATAATACTGGTTAAAATTTACCTTGCACGGCTTTTTTCAGCGACCAATTTGAAAAAATTAATTGGAAGACTCTTTGAAAGTGAAGCCTACATCTACCACATGAGCAGACCATTGGGAGTGCCCAAGACTAACTGAAAAAAAACATAGATCTACACAAACACTTGTACATTAATGTCATATCAGCTTTATTTGTAATAGTCCAAAACTAGAAACAATTTGATCATCAACAGACGAATGGATAGACAAACTGTGGAATGTTCATGTAATAGAATACTACTCCAAATTAAGAAAGATATTGATACATAAACAGCATGGGTAAATCTCAAAATAATTATGCTTAGTGAAAGAAGCCAGACATAAAGAGCACATACTGTATGATTCCATCTGTATAAAGTCCAAGAAAATGCAAATGAATCTATGGTGTCAGATCACTTGTTGCCTAGCTGGGAGGAGGGGCTGTAGCGGGGGCGTCAATAGAGAGATAACCAAGCAGACAACTTTTGGGGGTGGTATATATGCTCATTACTTTGTTTAGGGTGATAGTTTTAACAGGTGTATGCATGTATCAAAACATCAAGCTTTATATATGTGACGTTTACTGTATGCAAATTACATCTTAATACAGCTGTGCCTAGTCCTTGATCTAGTAAGTGTATTTTGAAAACTATGTATGAAGAACTCCAACTAAATCGGCCACCATACCACCCACTGCCTGCGTGTCGATTCCGACTCACAGTGACCCTATAGGACAGAAGAGAACTGCTCCTTAGGATTTCCGAGACTAAACCTTTAGGGGAGCACACAGTTTCATCTTTCTCAGATGGAACAGATGGTACATTTGAATCACCGACCTTGTGATTAGCAGTCTAGTATTTCTCTTACAGCCCCGCACCAGGACTATAGAACCTTGTTGTTGTTGTTACGTGCTGTTAAGTCAGTTCCAACTCATAATGACCCGGATTTAGGGTTTCTGAGGAGTGGCTGCTGAGTTTGAACCACCGACCATATGTTTCAAACTGACCTTGTAGTCCAGGGTTTATCCTACAACGCCACACCAGGACTCCATATAACCTTAAAATCATGATTTTGAATGGGGTTAAATGATATGGGAAATTGCTCATAATGTGTTACGTGAAAATAGAAAAATATAGACAGCTATATATAGAACATTTACCAATTACTAATACAGAAAAATGGGAAATAAGTTATAACCCTGAGAAGAGGATTATAGTTAGTTATTACTTTCTTCCTTCTGAGTACTTGTAGGTCCATAAGTGAAGTGAAATTTACATACAGTGAAAAAAATGGAACTGAAGTATATAATTTGATCAGTTTTGAAAAATTTACACACCAATGTAACCCACAGCTCTTTCAAGATATAGAATATTTCCAGCTACCCAGAAAGTCTCTTGGGTCCCTTCTCATTTCCCTTTAAAATTTTCCTGAAAGCCAACACTCTTCTGATTTCTTTCTTCACAAACTAGTAAATAGAATCATTACAAAACCTTTTTTTTTTTTTTAAAGCAAATGTTCTGTTTAACAACACAAGCCTGGATGTTTGAAGTGTTTAAGGGTCAAGTTAGGAAACTTAACTCTTTTTGGAATGTTTCTCTGTACAATGACCCAGAAGGATTTGTCACCACTAAAGCACAGGGAGGAGCAATAGATATAAAAAAGGAGAAGGAATATACTTTAAGGAATAAGTTTAAAGCAAAACAAAACAAAAAGACATCTTTTGGACATCAGGGAATATGGCAGAGTAGGAAACCTCAGGAATTGGTCCCTCTAACAAAACAACTATTGAGATAGCAGGAACTGTCTGAATCAACTACTTTGGAGTCTAGTTAAACACCTGCACCACTCAGGGGAGAGATTGATGGAAATGCTGTTAAATTTTGGTGAATTATACTATTTGGAATAGCAACAGCCACCCCCACCCCTTCACAAAGTTAAGAATTGAATTACCCATCAGCCACTCAGTAGAAAGCTGAGGCTGGCTGCTCCTGTCAAGATCTACAGTCTTGGAGACTCAATACAGGTTGCTGTGTGTCAGAATTGACTTGAATGCAGTGGGTTAGGGTCGCTATGAGGCAGAACCGACTCCACAGTACTTAACAACAACAACAGGGGCTGTAGGGAGAGGTGAGTGAGGAGCTATTATTTAATGGGTTCAAAGTTTCCAGATGGGATGATGAGCAATTCCTGGAAATAGACAATGGTGATAGATACACATGTGACTATACTTACTGCACCTGAATGGTTAAATGTTTGTTTTGCATGTTTTACCATAATCATAATTTTTAAACACTTTTATTGTGAATTGAGTGAATGTTTACAGACAGGATGGTCAGTTTTACATTCAACAAACCGTACATTTGGTTTCATCTCAATGATTGCAATCCCCTCCCTGCAACAACACTTATCCTGCCTACTCTCTGTGGTGGCTATTTCCATTCCTGCCATCGTCCCATCCCTTCACAACTTGGTCCTTCAGTAGGTTTTGCCCTTTTGATTTTGAATGGTTGGCCATTACATGGTGAGCATTCCTTACAAGTGTTGTGGTTCCCCTATACACCTATGTACTGCTTGGCTGAAAATTTGGGTCACGAGGGTGAATTCCTTTGTAGACCTGAAGGTTGAGAGGTCAAGGGCCACAGTCTCAGGTTCCTCCAGTCTCTTTACAACTAGCAAGTCTGGTCCCTTTTATAAATAATTTTGAGATTTGTTCCACCTTTTCTCTCACTCATCCAGAACGTCCTAATGTGATCCCCCTCAGAGGAGTAGTCAGTGGTAGCCAGGCACCATCTAGTTCTTCTGGTCTTGGAGCCACAGAGACTGATGTTCCCATGTTCTATTAGTCCATCAGACTAACCAATTGAAGCATTTTCAATTCTCATCACTCTTCCTTCCTCCGCATCTGGAGACAGCAATAGTTGCACCCCCAGACAGCCACTGCCAATCCTTCACCAAAGCAGGATTCAGAGCATTCTTTGTGGACTGTTATGCCAATTGACTATGGTGTCCCCTGAGACATGGTTCGATTTCCCCAGGCCCAGAAACTCATTACACTAAGTTGTTTGGTAATACCCAAGACGTTTTCATCCATGTGTACTCTACCGCATTTATAGTTGTGTTTTCAGGAAAGGTACTAAGAATATCCTCTTTCAAACTCTTACGTATGTGTCATAATCATAATCTTTAAAAGCTACCTTTCTAGGTTTTCTCGAGGCCAGGAAGCCAAAGAGAAAACCCTGTGCTACAAACAAGGATTCTTTCTTTCAAGGGACCCTTTGAAAATAGCTTTATCAAGACGTAACCAGCACACCTAAGGCTGCTTTCAGCCACATCTGCTCCTCACCTAAGACCTCTGGCCTCCGCGTGGAGATCCGCAGGCTCTCGGTTGGGATGGGGACAAGCTGAAGCAATACATGAGCCAGCTGCTTCCCAAGATGGCCACCCCCAATGATACCCACATTGAACTTCTCATAGGTAACAGATCCAGTTGAGACACGTCCAGAAATCTGATTCCCATGAGATGATTGTCTGGAGAAAGAACAGACAGACACATTTATAAATACATGCATACTCCAATGAGTGTTCTTGAGTGTCAACCTCTGACCTCCTGGCAACCCATTCCAGTTGAGCCCTGGTGTGGTGCTGTAGAATGTAAGCACTGGACTGCTAGCCACAAGGTTGAGAGATCAGAGCCACCAGCAACTCTCTGAAACCCGTATCGAGTCATTATGAGTTGGAACCAACTTAATAGCACACCGCCACCACAACCCTTCCCGATTATATGCTGCTTTCTCAGCATTATTAGGGAATGAAATACTCTTTTGAGTGAGTTTTCCAGAGATTGAAACACATGCCTTCAAGGTACCAAAACTTGCTTAAAACATTTTACAATTACCATTGTGTTTGTTTCTTTTACTTTGTGACATGTAGTGTATATTTCCCTGCCTTCTTAACTACACAATCTGAATGTTTAATCACATCTTTGACTCAGACCACCAGTATGAACAGCCATTGTTACATATCGTATTGTCATGTAGGACACGTTGTCCAGTTCCTTCACATTTTGTCTGGTTTTTGTACAAACACCTGTCCTTTTTCATTGCTGTCAAGATGAGCCACACTCCTCTCCTACAGCTACACTTTCCGGTTTGCTATTTCCATTCTGCTCAGACTCAGGAAACCAAATAACCTTGATTTTGAAGAACATCATGATTTATTAAAGTAAATGGCTTATGAGAGAAAACAGTCCTGAGAAACTCAGGGTGAAGATTTTGAGACCACTCATCCCAGGGACTCATTTACTAGATTTTTTTCCTTGCCCAAAATGAACAATCTAACCGCTGAAGACATGACACATTATATTATTAGAAGACAAACCTATGTTTGTTCTGTTGTTCAGTAAAAATTAAGAGCCTTCAAGCTCTGGCAAACGTTTCCTTGTAAACATCACAAGCTGCATTCTGTTTAAGGCTTCTTTCCTGGTTGTGAGACTTTTCTCTCAGTGCCAGATCCTTTCTAATATAAAATGCCCTGGAAATGTCCTGCATTGGTTTCTCACCACTCGTTTTGGATGCAATCAGTAGGTTTATGCATCCTTTCCAGACAGGCAATCAGCAGCCTGCCTCCCTGGGTTTAAACTGTATCTATGTTGATTGTTGGTAAATTGCCATCAAGGTGGTTTCTATTCATAGCAACCCTACAAACACAGGGTTTCTGAGGTGCAGCTGGTGGATTTGAACCACCCACACTGTGGTTAGCAGTCCAGTACTTATCTTACAGCACCACACCAGGGCTCCATGCTGTATCTATATATAGCATGTTAAATTCAGATCTGGGCCCCTCATCTAAGAATCAATCTAATATCGGAGCAAAGTAAACTAAGACAGAGTGAGCAGAGACGTCGCTACCTGTACAAAGACAGCAAGTTACCTGGTTATAGGACCCCCTCAAGCTCCCAACTTTCCTGTGAGGAAGCATCCCTTTATTAGCTTAGGCCCAGAAGAAAGAACCAAGCCCATTTTCAGCCAGTCATCAGAACTGACTAACCATCAACCTCTGTGAAAGATAAGCTAGTGGGTCCAGTGAGGGAAATAAATCAATCATTCAATCACTCCACCCTTTGCAAATAAATCACCACAACACCATGCTTTATTATGTAGCTACAGCCAAAGACTCTGGCATGGAGTTCCCTGGTTCTGTCAGACCAAGAGACAGTATAGTTAGAAGAGGTAGAAAGACATTCCCCTGACTATTATTCATATCGAAAGGTTAAGTCCTTTGGATTCCCTGAAATTTGCTTCTTCTCAAGTTGTCTGACCTTAGAGATCTAGATTACCTCAAATTATGGAATAGCTTGCAGAAGAAGGTTGCATGGGCACAGGCCTCTATCATGAGCCCCCGAGAACGACCCTGTAAAAACAGCCAGGTACGGTCTTCCTCTGGAATCTCGTACTCAAACTGCAGGCTCTCAAGGTCCTCCAGCATGTCCATCTCCAAGTGACCATCTCCTGCAGAGACAGATACCAATTGGGCCCCTGTTCTGGGAGCACAGGTGTCTATGCAGCAGAGTGTATATGTGTTCGTTTGCATGTGCCTAGGTCAAAAGCACTCAACATGGTCAAATTCCACACGTCTCTGCTTCCAGATTCTGAGTCTGGAGGTGGAATCCGCTTCTCTGCAGGACTGTAGGTCCTGGAGAGTTTCAAATCACTGCCCGTGAAGCCAGAAATGCAGTAGAATCCTCTGAAGCAGAACAGAAACCCAAAGTAGTGTTCCACCACACAAGCTGTAAGTGGTGTTTTAACCAGATGAGTTTATACCAACATGGGTTTCCTAGGTGCTTTGGAGCCAGGATTTTCCCCCTCCAAGTTTTAGAAATATACGATTGACCAATTAGATGACATTTCAAAGAAGTTCTTCCCATTCATTAAACTCTAGGTTATCTCAGGGTAGAAATCAACCCAAACTAAGTATCACCATTGCCCTGTGTAGGACAGGAAAATCTAGATTTTGTAAAGTAAACACACAGATGTCTGAACCCATGCACATCGCTCACCTCACAAATGGAGATCAGCTCTACCCCCGCCCCATGCTTCTGGTCCTGGAGGTAAGAACTTCATTTCCCAGGAGAATTACCCAAGAAAGTTGTCATTGTGACTCATTAGCTACCAGATTACTTCAGCTTCTGAATCTTAAAGGGGCCAGCTCCACCTAGAGGTTTTCCCAACCTGCAATCTGAGGACACGCATTTCATTACCAAGGGAGTTTGGGACCCTCCTTTTCTTAAAGGAATGTTTGTTGTGGATTTCTAGAATTTTTTTGTAGACTGGAGTATCCTACAGACCTTACTACTCAATTTTCCAACCCCCTTTTTATAAGAGATTGTTAAGTGCCATTGAGTCAGTTCAACTCAAAGTGACCCTGGATAGGGTTTCTAAGGAGCAGCTGGTGGGTTTGAACTGCCAACCTTTAGATTAGCCGTCCAGTTGTTGTTGTTAAGTGCCGTTGAGTCGGTTCCAACCCATAGCAACCCTGTGTAGGGTTTCCGGGGAGCAGCTGGTGAGCTTGAACCACCAATCCTGCAGTTCAAACGGCTTTGCAGTCTGGCACATTAACCCACAGTGCCACACCAGGACTCCGTGTGCTTATCCTATAGTGCCACACCAGGACTCCTGTTTAAGAGATTAATGATAACCCAAGCCCTATAATCTCTACCTGGCCAACTGATTGGAACAGATCCATACTTATGCCCATTCCAAAGAGAGGTGACCCAATGGAATGTGGAAATCATCGGATAATATCACACTAATCTTTCATGCAAGTAAAACTTTGCTAAAGATAATTCAAAAATTGCTGCAACAGTACATTGACAGGGAACTGCCAGAGTTTCAAGTGGATTCAGATGACAATGTGGAACAAGGGATGTCATAGCTGATGCCAGATGGATCTTGGCTGAAAACAGAGAATATGTTTACCTGAGCTTTGCTGACTATACAAAGGTTTTTGATTGTGTGGCTCAAGAAAGGCTATGGATAACATTGCTGAGAATGAGTATTCAAAAAAGTTAACTGTGCTCAAGGATCCTGTACATAGAAAAAGAGGCAGTTGTTTGAACAGAACATGGGGACACTGAATGCTTTAAAATTAGCAAAGGTATGAGTCAAGGTTGTTTTCTTTTCACCATACTTAATTCAACCTGTATGCTGAACAAATAATCCAAGAAGCTGGATTATAAGAAGCAAAGTATGGCATCAGGATTGGAGGAAGATTCATTAACAACCTGCGCTATGCTAATGATAATCACCTTGTTTGCTAAAAGCCAAGAGGACTGACAACACTTACTAATGAAAATCAAAGACCATAGCCTTTGTTATGGGTTGCACCTGAATGTAAAGAAAACAGAAATCCTCAACCTGGACCAATAAATAACATCTATATAAATGGAGAAAAGACTGAAGAAGTCAAAGACTTAATTTTGCTTGAATCAACCATCAACACTCATGGAAGCAACAGTCAAGAAATCAAGCGACGTATTGTATTAGATAAATCTGCTTCACAAGACCTCTTTAAAGTGTTCAAGAGCAAAGATACTCAGTTTGAGGTCTAACGTGCACCATGGTATTTTCCATAGCCTCATATGCATGTAAAAGTTGGACAATGAATAAGGAAGACCATAGACAAATTGATGCATTTGAGTTATAATATTGGAAGAGAATATTAAAAGTATTATGTATGGCCTGTCAGAAGAACAAACCAATCTGTGTTGGAAGAAGTATAGTCAGAATGTTCCTTAGAAGTGAGGATGGTGAGACCTCATCTCTCATACTTCACACATGGAGAAGGACACCATGCTGGGTAAAGTGGAAGGTCAGTAAAAAAGAGGACGATTCCAATGAGATGGATTGGCACAGTGGCAGCAGCAATGGGCTTCACTGTAGAAACAATTGTGAGATTGGCACATTCCCTTGGGCCACCTCTCTGTGGAATGGGCACAAATATGGTTCTCTTCCAGTCAGTTGGCCAGGTAGTTGTCTTCCAAGTTTCTTGACATAGATGAGTGAGTGCCTCCAGTACTGCATCATTTTGTTGAAAGGTTTCAATTTGCATTCCATTAATTCCTGGAGGCTTGCCAATGCCTTCAGAGCACCTTGGACTTCTTCCTGAAGGATCACTGGCTCTTAATAATATGCTACCTCTTGAAATGATTCAACATAGACCATTTTGGTGGGCTGCAGTATATTTGGTACTCTGTATAGTCTTTCCATCGTCTTTTGATGCTTTCAGCATCATTTAATATTTTGCCCATTGTTGTTGTTGAGTGCTGCTGAGTTGATTCCAACACATAGTGACCTGTATAGGGTTTCTGAGGAGCAGCTGGTGAGCTTGAAATGCTGACCTTGCAATTCAAACAGCTTTGCGGTCTGGTGCATTAACACACAGCGCTATACCAGGACTCAATTTTAGCCATAGAATCCTTCAATATTACAAGTCAAGGCTTAAATTTTTTATTAAGTTCTCTCAACTTGAGAAATTCTGAGCATGTTTTTCCCTTTTTAGTTTTCTAATTTCAGGTCTCAGAACATTTTGCTATAATATTTGATTTTGTCTTCTAGAGCTGACTTTGAAATTTTCTTTTCAGCTCTTTTACAATGGGTAATTTATCCTAATGTTGCAACTGATATTTCCTGCTCCAGAGCAATTAGGAGCTAAAACCTTCCAGGTCAGCACAACCAATGTAGCACAAAACAACTTTATATTCAGGGACCCTAGACTTACTCTTCACTTGTGCTTTCTCAAAATAGGATACCAGGGACTCCACACAGGGCCAGAACTCAATTGTCACATTCCTTCATGAGCTGCTTGAATTGGAAGAACCTCCAATTGGAAGAACCTCCCCCCCAACCACCCCAGAGAGTTATCCTCTCCAGGTCCAAGAACTATACTGTTTGTTTTTAAAAATATAACAACCCCACAATAAAAACAACAGACCATTTAGCTCACACAAACAAACAAGAGAGAATGGTTCAATTGACCAAGATGCAGAGACAGAAAACATTTTTGAAGGAAAAAAAGTAATGGTACTAACTGAAAAAGATTTCAAAAGAATGATACTCCCCCCTGTAAGACTGAACCGCAAAAGGAACACGTGAGAAGGCATGTAAGCTTGCTGATGACCACATTGGTCTACTGGTGAGTGAAAGAGAGGAAAAGGCAGCAATGAAGAAATGGGCTGAGTTCAACCATGTTCCATAGACACCCGTTGACCTGGAGATG